GGAGACATTCTGTTTAAATTGGGGACTGGAGTTGAATTTAAGAAAGTCAAATATCATCGTATTTCGAAATGGTGGAATTCCGTCGGAATCGGAGAAATGGTTCTTCGGTAATCAGCCTATGGAGGTTGTAACTTACTATAAATATCTTGGTATCGTGTTTTCATCAAGATTAATATGGACAAAGGCGTGTGAAACTCTTGCACAACAAGCAAACAAAGCCTGTCTTTCTGTGTTTAGAATCTTTAAGAAAAACCAGGAAATTACATACTCTACGGCACGGATTATTTTTGATAGGAAGATAGCACCAATACTACTCTACGGAGCTGAAATTTGGGGACACAAATATTCAGATTCAATTGAAAGGATTCAAATGGCGTATTTTAAAAGATTTCTCAAAATTGGAAAATTTGCTTCTAACAAGGCTATCCTCGGTGAACTTGGACGTTATCCAATGTATGTTTTCAGCCAGATCAAAGTAATTAAGTTTTGGTTTAAGCTGTTATACATGAACCAACAACGTTATCCCATACAGTGTTATAAAATGCTTAAAACGTTTGACGATATGGGCAAAATTAATTGGGTGTCAAGTGTAAGATCTATTTTATTCACAAACGGATTTTCACATGTATGGTTAAACCAAGGTGTTGGCGATGTGCACCTATTCATCCTAACCTTCGAACAACGCATAAAAGATGTAGCCTACCAGACTTGGCATAATGATATTTGCAGCTCAACGTTTCTCAGCCACTATTCACAATTTAAATATGACCTTCACTTGGAACCGTACATCACTGAATTGAAAAACAAATCCTTAATACGTGCGTACTGCAAATTTCAATTTCCCATAAAAAAGATATCCCCATAACAGGCTATTTGTGCACTGTATGTAATGCATTGGAAGTTGAAGACGAGAATCATGTCTTTTTTCATTGTAAATATTACGAATGTTGGCGAGAAAAATATTTGGTACAACTTCGAAAAGTGTATAAAGGTCCACTAACTTTAGAATCGATTTTCAAATCAAGAAACAGTCAGGTATTATATTTCACTGCTTTATTTCTGCATAATGTATTCCAAACAAGAGCTGGATCCATTTGACCACTGTACATCGATTTATACAACTGTATAACTGTATTATAGGCCACTAGGCCGATATTACGCAAATATACTATCTGTCTGTCTGTCATAATGAGTACAATAATATCAGATGAACTTCCAACAAATGTCTTTCCATACCCATTCATAATGAGTACAATATTATCAGAAGAACTTCCAACAAATGTCTTTCCATACTCATTCATAATGAGTACAATAATATCAGATGAAATTCCAACAAATGTCTTTCCATACCCATTCATAATCAGTACAATAATATCAGATGAACACTCAACAAATGTCTTTCTATACTCATTCATAATGAGTACAATAATATCAGATGAACTTCCAGAAAATGTCTTTCCATACTCATTCATAATGAATACAAAAATATCAGATGAATTTCCAACAAATGCCTTTCCATACTCATTCATAATGAGTACAATAATATCAGATGAACTTCCAACAAATGTCTTTCCATATTCATTCATAATGAGTACAATAATATCAGATGAACTTCAAACAAATGTCTTTCCATACCCATTCATAATAAGTACAATAATATCAGATGAACTTCCAACAAATGTCTTTCTATACCCATCACACTGAGTACAATAATATCAGATGAACTTCCAACAAATGTCTTTCCATACCCATTCATAATGAGTACAATAATATCAGATGAACTTCCAACAGATGTCTTTCCATACCCATTCATAATGAGTACAACAAGCATGGGTTACTGAAGGTTCATTCTAACCCATCTGAAACAGATGGACAATGGGTATAGTGCTGACCGGCCAAGAAGATCCAGTTGAACCAGGATTTGAACCCACATTCGAACATAACAGAGGCAAACAGGAACTCTAGCTGAAGAACATATGTTTCTGGTATTCCCAAAGGAAGCACATTTGCACAGCTGATTCTGGTGCTTTGGACCATTTTGCATAAAACCACAAGTGTAGAAGTGAGCAAAGCTCACATACCCCCGCTTCCCACTTTGGGACATGGAAATGACTGATATTGATATATATAATGTGACAAGGATCAGCAGCTCACAAGACTTTCTCTTTGACTCTACTAAACTTTATATAAATGTTAGATAATAGTTTTGGCATGTACTGATTACGGTAATAATTTATGGAAACTAGATTTTTTTGTGTTTTCCGTGGAAACCTGACATGTAATTGAACTTGAGTGTGTCATGTTGCACACAATGGACGTAGATGAAGATTGCTATTTTTTAGCACATGGCATATCTGTGGGTCATGATTAACTTGTGTATTAAGTTTGGTGAACCTAGCATGTATAGTTGCGATGATATGCCGTGGTCAGGTCACCATCAAATACATTTTGCATGTACCTAGCATGAACCTAGCATGTAAACTTTAAGAGATATGCTCTGGACAAAATAATCAAACACATTTGGCACTAAGTCATGTTTCCATGGAAACAGCAAAAAATACAATTCATATCTGGATGTAAACCCCAAAAGGCACATCTAGGGATCATGCTTGATATGTGTACCAAGTTTGATGAAGCTAGGAAGTATAGTTTGGAAGATCTGCTCCGGACAAGATGACATCCTCATAGTCACAGCCTAAGTCGTGTTTCCATGGAAACAGCAAAAAAACTAAATTCTGAAAAAACTTTAAAATAGCAAAAGGCACATCAATGGGTAATGATTAACATGTGTGTGAAGTTTGGTGAACCTAGCATGTAAACTTTAAGAGATATGCTCTGGACAAAATAATCAAACATATTTGGCACTAAGTCGTGTTTCCATGGAAACAGCAAAAAATACAATTCATATCTGGATCTACCCCCCAAAAGGCACATCTAGGGATCATGCTTGATATGTGTACCAAGTTTGATGAAGCTAGCATGTATAGTTTGGAAGATCTGCTCCGGACAAGATGACATCCTCATAGTCACAGCCTAAGTCGTGTTTCCATGGAAACAGCAAAAAAACTAAATTCTGAAAAAAAATTAAAATAGCAAAAGGCACATAAATGGGTAATGATTACTATGTGTGTGAAGTTTGGTGAACCTAGCATGTAAACTTTAAGAGATATGCTCCGGACAAAGTTTCGGGACGGATGGACGGATGGACGGACGGACGGACAGAATGAACGCTATATACCCCCGTTACTTCGTAGCGGGGGTATAATAATATCAGACGAACTTTCAACAAATGTCTTTCCATATTCATTCATAATGAGTACAATAATATCACTCATCAACTCCAACAATATTCAGCATAGTTTAGCATTTACACAATCTTGATATGTGTATCTTCAAGAGTATTTCCTTACTTGGCTTTGGTTTCTTCGCAATGTTATGTGCCTTGGCTTTAGCCTTCACTTCTCCCTTTTCTTGATTCTTGCGAAGCTTCAGAACTTCTATTATCATGTCCTGGAGGTAGGAATAACTCTTCAGTTCTGAAATTGGTTTGATTACCCAGTCACTGCAATGCTTACTGTAAGCAACTCTAAGTCCATCTGGATTGATGAATGTTACAGCATCAGAAGAGATTTCCTCCGTGTCCTCAACAATGGTATGTTTGTTATGATCGAGGGCGGCCAGCTGGGTTCTTCCTGTCATCTGTTTTTTATCGAAATCCTGTCTCTTGGGACAATAATTGTTGAGAAGGGAGTGGTACGCCTCTAAACAACCTGTGTGCAAAAATTTGCTTAGTCTTCTGATGTCCTCCAGAAATTTCCGGTTCATCATAATTTCTTCTAGAACTCGATGGGCAGGAGAGTCCAGAGTCAGCCACTTCTTCCTTGCAACTTGATCTTCTGTAAGAACATCATGACAACATGATGTTACCAATCCTGGCCCACCCCACTGATGAATATTGACAATGTGGTAGTGCAGGGATTCCTATCGGGCAACAAGTAGGCCAGCATCTCCCATACATGAAGCCGCACACCAAAAAAGATGATTACATATTGACTGTACCCATGGAGCAAGGGCTGAATACTTTTTGTAATGACATTTATCTTTCAACTTCTTGCGCAAACTATTTTCCATGTGATAAGCATCAAATTGGTGATTAATGTGCATAGGAGCATACTTTTCACGCATAAGCTTTGTTACAGATACATGCCGGTCAGTGGACACATCAGATATTGAAACATGCATTCCTGACTCAGACTCTGTGCATCCAATCAACCTGTCGAGCACCCTTTCAAATCCAATTTTGAGTGAGCTGTGATCCATCATGGTGTAGTTGCAGTATCTAGTGCTATAACCCGGTGAATCACATCTCCCATCACCTGACACTTGAACTGTCGAGTCTTGTAGTGTTGACAGCACGGATGTTTGTTCTGCCTTCCAAAAATCTTCAATAATTGGCAGTAGATAATCAATCTGAGTGTCATAAAAGGTACTTTTACCAACAATTTGAGATTCATCAATGAAGCAACATCAGCAACATGTTTGTATGTCTGTCCAGTGAACAATATACTGGCAGATAGCATCACATTCCCAGCAGACACATGATCATTCAAAAGTGGCTGCGACCTCCAATACAAAACCTCATGACCCCCTGTACAAAATATTTTGCTGTGATCATGCTACCCAAAAAACATTTGTTTGATCTCATCAACAGGACATGAGCAGGATTTACAAGGAACAACGACCTCCAATACAAAACCTCATGACCCCCTGTACAAAATATTTTGCTGTGATCATGCTACCCAAAAAACATTTGTTTGATTTCATCAACAGGACATGAGCAGGATTTACAAGGAACAAATGCATCTGAAAACACAATATATTTATATTTAGAGAGGATATTTGAAATAGGGTCTGCTTCAGAATCATTTTCACTTTGCGATTCGGCATCACTTGATGGTTGGCACAATGATGATTCACTTCTAACACTTGAAACATGTGAAGAAAATGAGTCGCTAAGAACAGTTGATTTATTCAAATCATCAACAACACTGTCACATGATTCATAATCCTGACATATATCGGCAAACCTCTTCCTTTTGCTCTGACAGTGAACAGTAGGCATGATCCAGCGAGGTGGTGAAAGGAGATGCCTCAGGACCACTGCAGCGGTGGTGATTTGTGTGGCCGCAACCAACACACCAGTCTTCGGTCTGCACGCCAATACTCTAAAAAAATAGTTAAAAGCATGTTAGAATTTCTCAAAATCCAAATGATTATACTTTTCATTACATACCATATTATGTTAAATATAGAGGATATTTTGTGTGTTGTAATTGGGACTATATGAAGTTATCATCCAAAACTTGGATGGGTTCAGCAACATGACTCCTGAGAGTTTCTAGGACTTCAGTACATACGAAGTACATGTGATGCATGTGGTCTCACCTTAGACAAGTGAGTTTGTTCAAACTTGCCTCTATTCACCTAGCAGAAAATGGGTACCTGGTGAAATAAGTCGTGAGGCTATTAACCTTCTAGTGCCTAACAGGCAGCTTGGGTTATCCGGGGTAACAATGATCGGATTATACGCTTTGAACAAGATATCTAGCCTGGAAAAGGTGTGTTATAAATATTCTCATTATTATTATAAAACTGGCTCCCATAGTAGATATCGCTGCGATATCTTTGTTGTAGATATCACAACGATAGATATCACAATTGCCATAATGCTATTACATCATCAGTTAATGACCTCACAATACTTTGACATCACTAAGAACACAGTTGACAAAGCTATGACCTTAATGCTCAGGAAGCCTAATGACAGTTTTGTGTTCAGATATGTTCAGTTTTTTAATGATAACTGATTAAGAATGATTTTGGATGGTAAATACAATCTCACCATCATGTCTTCTGATATTAAATATATCAACACTCGTTGATTACAGCAAAAATATCCTCGGATATTGGTACCTTTAATAAAATTGTGTTCATTTATTTCATATCAAAAGACTCTTTGGCGAGATTCTCTATATATTCAAGAAATTAAACTGGAAATGAAAATGAACCATTTTAGACAAAATTCACATTTTCCCTTGAATTCAGAAGATGCTTAACCAGTTCAAATACTTACAATGGAGCAAACTTCAATGTTTCCATGGTTGGAATTCAAGCCTCTCTTCTTGGGGCCATGATCTGATGATTTCTTCTGAAATACATGTGTCAAGAACCTATTTGCTATGCATAATGTTTTTCATATACAGGAATACACTACTGGCTTTTAATGTAAGAAGTTTGGGCTGTGTTTATGAATGTTATAAGAGTGGAAATAATTATAGATTACCTTGATTATCCCTAATAAAGGGTTTGGAACTGCATTTACAGAAAGTGTGCAGTCTTCCCACACTTGTATGTTTTGCATGTTAGATTAGCTGTTACATGGGTTAATTGTACTTTGGTAAATGAAGCAATGCAATAGTTATTTATAAAATACATATAAATCAATGTGATCAAAACAAATAAGATTCATGCTCTTGTAATAAAATCCAGTATTAGTGTATGGATAAAATCCATAAAAATGTTTCAATCTCAACCTCCAATTTTGTTACATATGTTTTTTTGTATGAAGACTTCCGATGATTAAAAAAATACAACAAATTCTCATAAGACACTAATGAATTCATTCTCGGTCTTATTTAGAGGCACTTCTCTAAACGTGTGTTATATTTATCAGTGAGACAAATTTCTGTTTGTTTGTGGAAAAGAAATATATAAACGGTTGTATCCCATAACCCCTACATGCCACTGCCCCTACAGCCCAGTACCCCTGCAATTAGTTAAAACAACACACGGCATTTACCTGTCTGGCATAATGAACTGACCCAAAGAGAGATTAGTGCATCAAGTATACAGATGAGATCAATGGAGGGATTAAACTGTTCTTTAGTGTTTTGTGTCAAGGAAATTTGGGATTAGCTAAAAGTTGTTTTAGTTTCATGATAAAAGGTTAAACCTCTAGTGAGTAGAACAATTTTACAAATTGGATAATGTGTAGGTTGTTAAATGTTGAAATTAAGTTGTTTTAGTGCCATGATAAAAGATACACAGTATTATTGAGAAGTGGAGGGAAATGAGAAGGTGAGACGAGAAAGTAAATTGAGATAGTTCGGTATAGTATATAGCTGTTGACAACAAACTAACATGGCATCAACATGGATGGTCTGCGTAATGTTGAGTTTGTATTGTCACGGAGAGGTAGCCCCCAAGTCCTATTTGACGGTTATCTTCACACTAAGAATGTCGAGAGACAGTCTTGTGTACACTGGAAGTGTGTTCAGTCAACATGCATGGGCGACACTCCAGACGTCCCAAGAGCAGTCGACTTCAACGATTACATCGTGACAACCTGGGTCGACGACACATCCAGATTTCTACTTCCCCTGTGGAACCACAACCTGACAACTAGGCCGAGGACAAACAACAATCTAGAAGGTTTTCACAACCGACTGAACCGTGAAATTCCACACAGGCATCCGAACATATACAGATTTGTAGAAGTCATTAGGAGAATTGAACATGCTGAGAGGGTGAAGATTTCACAAATAGACTTTGGTGCTGCGACAAGAAGCAGAAAGCGAGTCTTCAGGGAGATTGACAATCGCCTGTGTAGATTCAACGAGCAGCTTGAGCTTGGACAGAAATCACCTCTTCAGTTCTTGGACGCCGTCGGCTATCTGCTTAAGCTGGGATAGATTGAAACACTGAATGTTCATAGACTGAAACACTTGACACAAATGACTATGTTAACATTGAATGTTAACAATTAATTGTTAATGTCCATCAAAAAATCATGATGACGAATTATTGTTAATTCTTATTAAAATCTTGATGATGACAAATGATGATCACTTTTCATTAAAATCATTCTCTCGACCTTTTAGTTGTGTGTTGTTATGTCTCTTAAGTGGATTAGTCCATTGTGTGGAATAGGTAACAGGCAGTGGATTAACAGTGCAACAGACTGTAAACTTTGGTGTTATAAGCTGTAGGGGTAATGGGGGGGGTTACCATATAAACGATGCTATCAAGGCAAACAAGAAGGCATGGTTTCCATGATACTAATGAACCATTAAAAACTTAAGTACCTTTGACTTCCTGCTTTTTGTGGTGGCTGGAGAGCTGATGACACTGTTGATAACCTCAAAAAGAAAATAATTAAGTAAGTATGCAACCCCAGCAAGTTGTGATATATTCCACTGAACTTGATATAATCACCCTTGCTATATTTTGAAACTTACATTCTGGTCAACATATTAGTCATACTTATGTCAACTCACATATGTACCTATATTTAAAAAACTTAGGGGTAGATCATTATAAATAATTAAATTTAAAGTGAAAAATGTCTGTGTGTTTAAGCCTATTTGAGTTACCTGCTTTCTTTTCCTTTCTATCAGGCGATCCCTTCTCTCATCTCTCTTCACTTCTCCCTGTCTCTTTCTATGAACAAAGAGAGTAGGGACTGCATCTCCTTTCAGTTTCAGATGTGGCTCTACCCCTAAAACTCTTGCTTGGAGATCATACTCGAAACAGTCTGGTTCAAAATGGTCTCCACAAACAACCTGCACAAAAAAATCAACCTGTCAAAATCAAACCTTTATAAATCATGTACAATTTAAAACAATTGAAATTGTACACATCTAACAAAAAAACAGATTAACTATTCTTTATATTAATGATAATACTTATTATTATAATGTTTACATGATAATTGATTGCAAAAGAGATCAGACTATTCATATTATTTTCTTTAAAAAATTAAACTAAATAATATTTACAATAACATGCAGGTGATTATTTGGGGATATGATTTTTCAAAATCAAGCCTCAATTTCTACATTTGTCAACAACTTCAATATTGTAACATTTGCCAGTTTCTTGATAATGGTGTAAATCCATAACCTTTAAAAATTAATAGATGATGATTGAAAGAGTTACGCCGATAATCATTATTCATCCATGATTTTCTACTAGATCTTCATGCAGCCGTACAAGTCTACATTTTCCCTTTAATCCCTATAGACATTCGAAATCATATCAATGTCGTACTAGATAATCAAACACAAATTCAAAATTAAGCCAGTTTTTGGTTGAATTAAATGTGTTTTGACACATACGTACGAAGTTATTTTGATTACAAACTTACTACAATCAGGGAGACTATATAACTGGGAGTAGTCCTCGAAAAGCCCCTTAGCGTATGCCTCGGCTCGTCACGTGACTAGTGTAGCCAATATGGCGACAGCCTAGTTTTTAAGATTGAGCCCGGTTTATTTTCAACAGCTGATTACATTCGTTGAGTGTAGAAGTGTACATGTAGAAGATAAGTTACCTATTCTGTGACTTCATTTTGAGTCAAATAATTGTTAATAGTGTCAGTATTAGTACAGTAGATTTGTATTAAAGTTTCAAGTCGGCATGTTGTAGCTCACTGGCTTCAATTCTCGGTACACAGCAAAGAAAGACCAAATTCTATCGCTAAAAACTTCTTTCACATATTCGTTTCATTTTTAGAAGGGAAATGCAATTTTCTGAATAAAATTGATATTTTATACTTATCCTGACTCATGCTTAATTGCTTGTCTTCTTCCTTTTGCGAACATAGTGGAACACTTGTATCTCCTTATTGAAGCTCCCTTCAATAAAGCGTACGTAAAATCACTAATCACTACTCACCAAGAGTTGTCCCTCCTTCCGTTTTGGCGGGAACTGGCGCCACTGTTCCCCCACATGCTTCACTCTCTCCTTCTTCGCCCAGTGAACAGGTTGCTTCACTCTCTACTGAATATGAGCCCGACACTTGAATTTGCAGGGAAATCCAAAGTGTCTTGTGGGGAGGTTGGGAGGGCTTACCTCATGAGTCAGGATAAGTATAAAATATCAATTTTATTCAGAAAATTACATATTTTTCCTTATCCTGACTCATGCTTAATTGCTTGTAGAATCCGACGGAAAAGGTGGTGGGAAAAAGCACTTTAGGATTTAATTAGTGAATTTTACGTCAAAATAAACCCCACTTACGGGAACTTGCTAAATTCTGCTGCTGTAAGCAAATGTGTTCTTTCAGCTGCCTTTTAATGGGGGGACCACAATAGTTAACTTTGGTCCTACTTCTGTTAACATTTCAATGTGGATTTAGCGACTCCAAAGTGGAGAAGCGACCCAATTGTACGAGTAAGCTTACAAGTACTGGGTTTATCACTTAGGCTAGTCTTGAGACGTGCATAGATATTGAAGCAAAACTCTGCTGAGTGTAGGCTTGATAAGTCATCTGATAACACAGCGAGACTACGTCTCATCTTCTGTGGGGAACTGTCAACTGCTGTGCGACAACCAGAGGGCCGAAATGGTGAATGCCTGAGACGTCCTCGGTGGCGATATCTCTCAAGTAGTGGTTTGCAAACACCATGTCCGATTTCCAGAAACAGCCCTCCATGATCGTGTTAAGCGAGCAATTCCCATGAAGAGCGAGTGTTGACGCCAGTGCTCTAATTTTGTGAGGGTTAGAGGCTCTTGGAGGATCGAGTCCTGCAGCCTTGTAGGCTCGTAGTATGACAGTTCTTATCCAGATTGATATCGTAGTGCGGGAGACTTCCGTCTGTGTCGCTGTTGATATCGGGACGAAAGTCGTTTAAACTTGCGTCTCCTCATTCTGGATCGAGGTAGATAAACTTTCAATGCTCTTACTGGGCACAAGGATAAGTCAAGCATATCATGTGGTCCGAGTATGGAGGATAGTTCTGGGACGTGGAATTGTCTGTCCGTTTGACCTGGCAGTTGATTCTTAGCGATAAAATCCAATCGCAGTCCCATGTGCACTGTGTTTTGATTTCCATCAAATCTCGTTCTCTCGTAATCTAGAGCATGAATTTCCGACATCCTGGCTGCTGTTGCTAAGGCTAGCAGGAACAGCGTTTTCTGTGTCAAGAATTCAAAGGATGTCGTCTCCAGTGGTTCGTAAACATCACTTGTGAGATGTTTGAGAACAATATTGAGGTCCCATGCCGGAGCGTGAAATCTCTGTTTTTGGTCCTCCAATTTATAAGAGCGTAACAAGGCCAGTAACTCTGGTACTTTGGTTAGCTTTGCACCCGTCCTCATAGTTATCACTGAACTCAATGCCGCTAGGTATGTTGAGAGTGTAGACCCTTTCAGACGTTTGGTTTCTCGTAGGTGACAAAGATAGTCTGCCACTTGAGGATGTGTTGCATTTCTAGCTGTAAATCCCTTTTTAGCAGCGTAGGTCTCTTAAACTGCTTCACTTTGTCGCCGCATTGCAAGTGCGCGTGTAGAATTGCGTAAAGCAAGCGTGACTGCTTTCGCCACTCTGGCTGAGTAACCTCTCTTGTTTAAACATGCCTTGATACAGTCAATACGCGTAGTTGGAATGCCCCTGGGTTGCCGTGCGCTTGTTTTGTGTGAGGATGTACTAGTAGATTCGACCACTCTGGTAGTTGCAGTATTGGTGGTCCGAGTTCTTGTATGAGAATGGGGAACCACATTCTCGCTGGCCAGTAGGGCGCGACCAAAATCAGTTGGAGGTTCCTTGTCTGGCTGATTTTCTGTAACACCCTCGGTAATAGCGCTGGCGGAGGAAACGCGTACGCGTTGAGGCCTTCCCAGGATATGCTGAGAGCGTCCGTTGCCCACGCTCGTGGATCTGGGACTGGAGAGACGAATGTTGTTAGCTGATTGTTGAAGCGTGTGGCAAATAGGTCTATTAACGGAGCTCCTATTTCCTTGATGATCTGTGTGAAGATCTCTGGATGGAGCATCCATTCCGTCGGCGATGGTTGAGTTGGACGGGATAGTAGTACATCTGCTAGGACATTCTTGGCTCCTGGAATGTGACATGCTCTTACGTGGATGTTCAGATCGTCGATTAGGTCGAACAGTTGAAAGCAGAGATCTAGTAGGTTCAATGATCTTGTTGAGCCTTGCTTGTTTATGTCAAACGCCACTGTTGAGTTGTCTGTGTGTACCATGAGATGCGCATTCTGTAGAATGGTGCTCCAATGGAGTATGGCATTGATGGCTGCTTTCATCTCCAGCATGTTGATGTGCAGACGTTTCTCTTCTTTGTTCCATATCCCGGCTGCCACATGGTTGTCGAGATGTGCTCCCCAACCTTGGAGTGACGCGTCTACGTATAGTTGGGTCTTGAACTCCGGCTCTACTAAATAGATGCCTTCGCGAAAACATTCGACCTCCGGGTCCACCATAGTAGATGAGGTCGAGATGAGCGTTGATGAGGACCTGTAACGGGCGTAGCTGTAGTCTGCCTCTGGCTGTCATGTCTTGTGCGGACGTGAGGAGACCCAACAGACTCTGCCACTGTCGTAGTAGCCACGGAGAGAGTAAGGCTTGAGGGATGGTCTGTTGAATCTTGAGCCATCGGTCCTCTGGCACGACGATACGATTCTGCGTCGTGAGAAATCTGATGCCTAGAAACTGTAGGTCCTGCGTAGGTTCTTGGTCCGACTTGAGTAGATTCACTAACCATCCTAGCTGAGTGAGTAGATTGATGGTGAAATTCAATTGTAGTTTGAGACAGACTGGATCTTGATCTACTTGAATCCCGTCGTCAAGGTAGAATGCACTGCGTAGCCCTCGATGATGTAGATATGTGACTAAGGGTTTCGTTACTCTTGTAAACAACCAGGGGGCCGATGATATTCCAAATGGCAGGACCTTCCATTGGTAATGTAGCCCGTCCAGTGTAAATCTGAGGTATTTTCTCAAGTCGGGATGTATCGGGATATGCAGGTAGGCATCCAGTAGATCAATGCTGGCCATGTAGTCCATCGGACGGACGAGGTGGATTAGTTGAGGTAGATGTATCATGTGGAACCTGGGAGGTCTGCGTAGATAATCCCTGTTGAACGTGCTCATATTGTAGATGAGTCGGAACTTTTCTTTGGAATTTTTCTTTGGAACCAGGAAAACTGGGGAGTAGAAACCTGGTTCGATGTTGACTTGATCCACGATTTCTATGGCCTGCTTGGTTAGAAGAGATGAGACAGCCTCTCGTAACTTCTCTATCTGATGTGTCTTGAAGTCGAACTTGTGAGGGTTGACTGTAAGCGGTGGCGTGGCCTGTAGTTGGATGCGATATCCGTGTTTTAGGATGTTGGATACATATGGATCTTGTAGTATTCCCCAGTTTTCCCAGTGGAGTTGTAGACGTCCACCCACTTGGGAAGTTTGTACAGGAACGGCTGGGTGTGGAAGACTCCAGTTGTTCTTAACCCGTCTTTATTTGTCGAGAACTCCGGGAGCCTCTGTCTGGGTGCCCTGCCTCGTCCGGATCCTCCCCTGTAGTTGCCGAATGGGCGGCGAAAAGAGTCCTTCCCGCCTCTGGAGCCACTTTCCTGTCGCGTGCCCTCTGTATTCCAGGAAACTTGGATCTTCCTGAGTAACGCTGGGTTGTCTGCCTGATGACGCTGGCCAGAGTGTCTATGGACTTGATCATTAGGACTTCTCTTGCATCTTTAGTGACTTTCTTAGCAACCCTGTCGATTTCTCCACCGAAGATGGAAGGAGTTGACCACGGGGCTGTGTAGAGTGACGTCGTAAACTGTTC